AGTGAAATAAATGTAAAAACAATGAAAAAACGATCAACAATCATTGAAGGTTGACTTGCGGAACACAAATTCTTAAAATATAGAATATAACAAAATAAAACCGATATTTCGATAGCTCCTGCTATCTATATCAACGTAAAAGCGAGGAAATTTGGGAGATCTTACAGATACAAAAATAATAATAAATGATATTAACCAATCGGAACCAAGTTAAAGATACAAATAGTTGATTGGACTACAAAATACATGTTAAGTAAATGAACGAATTAATTACAAATAAATAATTATAATTATGTCGGCAAAATAGTATTGATTATGTAAGCGATAGTATATTTGCGGTGCTATTGAGCCAGCTTAATTCTACGACTTTAATTGCGAGGGAATATAAAAATAAAAAACTCAAACGAAAATGAAACGATTGTTTTCGTTGACATAATACACATACAATTCATCCAAGACGAATATTTCTGACACGCCCGTGTCTTTCTTCAGCGTTTACCTGTATGAATGAAAAATACAGAAAAGATCAAAATTAAAAAAAAAACTGTAATTAACCAAGATAAATCCTAAGATAATAGCCACGCAGTTAGTACTAAACTGAACTAAACTTTATTGGAACATTTTTGTATCAGTGGCACACACCATGGACCTATTAGGCGCGCACCATCTGGTGGTGCATTCAAATAATAAGCAATATTTCACAAAATACAAAGAAAAATTATACAAAAAAAAATCTAAAATGATAGAACAGTGAAAATCAATGAGTACAATGGAAGGAATATTCCATGACCAAGAGATGGGCTGCACAACTCGACAAGGCGGAGCCTAGCCGAATGGATCACTTCAAATTTCAGTGAATTACTCAGCCACTGCACTAACACGATGTACGAATGACCACGGTAAAAATGACCCAGGAAAAAATGGCCCGGTAAAAAGGGCCCCGGCAAAAATGGCCCCAAATGACAGGTAGGTAAAAATGGCCCCCAATAATATAATTCTGTACTAAAACTGATTTTTTAAAATCATTATATACATTTTTAACTGAAATAATTTAGTTTTTAAAAGTAATCTAACATCAAATGATTTGCCATTTATATTTCACTTATTGCAGGAATTACATATTCAAAGATAAAATATTTAAAGATAAAAAAAGCAATGAATAACAGTTTGTATTGTTTTCCATTTAAATGTTAAAAAATAGCACCAACATAATCAATAAATCAACATAAATCATGCATTTATTAATACTAAAATATTTTATTTCTTTCAATCCGGGTTTTGGTAAACCCCACAAACAATGGGTTGATATGAACATTAAATTATTATTTTTTTTTTTATTTAAGAATATCAAAGTCCTACAATCATAATTAACGGGTTTGGTTGGGGTTCGCAGTGTGTTTCGAGGTTTGTGGTGTATTTGTAAGTATTTGTTCACAAAATAATTTAACATTTTAACCAAAAAATAGGTCCTTATAAATGTAATAAATATTCTTATTGATGTACCAAGTGAGTCAATCACAATTGAATTGTTAAGTTTTCTACAATGTGTTTTGAGAGGTTAGCAATACAATTTAATCCTACCATAATTACCCTACCCTCACATAATTACACACCATTTTAATTCTTAGTATAATTACCATACTTACTTAACTATGTATATATAGTATATCGCAGTTTACATTATTTAGTATAGTTTTGAAAATAATAAATTGAAAAAAACAAATGGCCACTGGTTTTTGAGCCAGTAGTAGGTACTTGGATTTAGTTACCTTTCTTTTATAATTTATATATAATTTAACAGTGTTAACGGCTATCTTGATTTATATTACATGCAACTATTTGTTTCTAGCCGTAGCCATTGTGTAATGGAGTGCATCTGGTGGTATTTGAATCTGTTCAACCATGAAGCCTCCGTGGTCTAATGGTTATGACGCTCGCTTTGACAGCGAGAGGTCGCAGGTTCAAGTCCCACCAGAGGCATTTTATTACACAATTTCTTTATTCATTTATTTACAGGACTACATTCGTTGAGAGCTATG